GACTATTTTTATATTATCAATAACTTCAATTCTTGCTAATACACAGGACATTTTAAAATTGCTGGTAGATATAAACAACAGTACTGTAGATACCGTTCCATTATTGCAGCGTTATGTACGGAAAAATCAGTCTCACAATCAGTAATAACGGAACGTTCTTAAAGCTCTACTAAATTACGTCATAGGCGCCAGTACTTGCAGTGAATATCGGAACGCACCCCATGTCGCATTTGCCGCGCGGCAAGCATTTCCGTATCCAGTTTGCAGGAACTCTTAGAAATGCGCCTTGCCGAACTTCCCGAGGGAGGAGTGGGGAGAGTAGAAACCGGAGTTCCAAGGGAAGGATCTGGATTCCGCTCTTGGTTGTGAAACAGTGAAACGATACGGATCGGATGAGACATCGGAGACGATTTCAAGTCTTTAAAAATAAACTAAAGTGAAAAGTGAAGAAAGAGGAATGTGAAAATAAGTTCGCTCTCGTCTCCAACTTCTTTTGCCACATTCCGTGAGACTCCATAAACTGTACTACGTGAGATCAACAGCAACAGTAATACTTTTGAAATTTCATTACTGAGAAGGGCGATATCCAATAATGCATAGTGATATTCCGAGAACCGATAGAACCGAGATAAGGAATATACAAGGAATCTCATTTTTTTAAATCAAGCAAAAATACGAAAAGAAGATATCACTGCCACTTGTTCCTTCACTATTCTGTGATTTGGATCGACACACGGCTGCCACGTGTACGGCATTACTTGCAGACTGCATGGTCCGCCATTATAGAATAGCGGACCATGCAGTCTGCAAGTAATGCCGGAATATCACTACGCATTATTGGATATCGCTCTTCTCAGTAATGGAATTTCAAGAGTATTGCTGTTGCTGTTGATCTCACATAGTACAGCTTCTGGAATCTCACAGAATGTGGCAAAAGAAGTTGGAGACGCCGGTCCTTCGGTCACGCTGGTCTTTTGGTCGTGTTTCAGTCGGTTTTTCCGCTGTCGTCGGTTTTACCAATTTTATATTGCGTTCCCTGCAACGCTTTCATGAGTGTGCCGAGTTCGTCACGCGGTTCGGCCGGGCATCATATCACCTATTACCGTCATCTAAGTCGCCTGACAGTTTCCTGCGCAAATTACGCCGGTTGCCGCCATTGTGTGTGCGCGTGCGTGTACGTGTGCGTGTGCGTGTGCGCGCGCGCGCGCGTGTGTGTGTGTGTGTGTGTGCGCATCTCAAGCTGTTCAAGAAATTTTTATGGTAGTATCCGTTCCAAACTAGACACTATGCACAAAGAGGATTTGAAGAAGTTCTCCGACCCTCAGCTCTACGACAAGCTCATTAAAATGGGGATCTCGCCCCTTAAGATAAGCGTGCGCGAATTGACCGCCTCGCTTTGTTTTACGAAAACACCATTACCGGAACTTGGGGGACGCGGACTGATCTCAAGCAAATAGCGCGTTTAAATATGTATTCTCGCGATTCAGCCCATGGTTCGGTGTATGTCGTTCGCGCAACGTTATAAGGTCTACCTGTGTTGGTGATTCGTCGCGCTTTTCGCGATCGCGTCCATTCGATCGAGATCCAAGCCGAACGCCAGCACGAAGGGACGAGCGTATTTCGCGGTAATTCGCAATTCGCGAATACGTGACTCGCCCAGATAGGGTATTAAGTGGGAAAGCGCATCGCCATTTTAGCTCCTAGTCAGTGCAGAATGGTTTTGAAAAGTGCAGTTACCAGAAGCTGAAAAGTGCAGTCAGAGAAAATCCTGAGAGCGGTCATGCCCGCGATTTAGCTGCGGTTGAGCTGGTTTCAGCGCCTCTGGAAAGTGGACATTGAACTACCAACTAGAGAGACCAATGAGAAGCACGCTTTCCGTCCAACGCGTGCTTCTTATTGGTCTCTCTAGTTGGTAGTTCAATGTCCACTTTCCAGAGGCGCTGAAACCAGCTCAATCGCCATCGCAGCTAAATCGCGGGCATGATCGCTCTCAGAATCCTCTCTGATGCCAGGAGCCAAAATGGCGATACGCATTCCCATATAATATAATACCCTAGCCCAGATTGTAATTTTAGCGAGACGCGGCAGTGGTGCCTCCCTAACCTTGTTAATCTGCGCGTCTCGTCCTGTCGTGCGATTAATG